CTGCTTTAATCTTAGCTTATATAAGTGCATACCAAGATTTCTATTCTTCCCATCATAAAGACTGCTTTTTATGGTGTCTCTGTAAACAGACATTGTTTACATCAACCAATGCATTTTTTTAAAAAATTGAGAATAAGAGTACTTCTGTTTAAAATTGTTCCTTAGTACACATATTTATGTAATGATCTGAGTAGTGAAGGACAAATGTCATTGTATTGGTCCCTCAATAGTACTGTGAGACATATAGATGGCTTTCTTCTGTCATGGATGGAGAATCTGAAGCTGAGAAATTTTATTTCTTCTGAGTGACCTCTGGTTTCTTCAAGAAGTTGGAAATGAGTCACAATTTCTGATGTTTTTCTTTCCATTACTCATTCTACTTTACTATTTGGTTTTCTGGCTTCAATGAGCATTCTCCCACATTTATATGGAAAGTGGGCTTTTTTAAAGTATTTGAGATACATCTTTGGTTTCAGATGTTGTTAATTTCAAGGAAACAATCAGCAGGATACAAGTAGGTGTTTTGAATTGACAGAGAAATTTAACCTAATATGTTGATACACTTTTGGTGCCAAAGACAGGGAAACATATGGTTTGCTGGGCTCTCCATGAAGATAGCTTTGTTAATGTTATTTTAAAACCAATTAATTTTAGGCTTAGTAGATAAATGAAGACCTGACATATTTGGTTTATGCCACATGCATTCATTTTTATAATTTATTTCTTATAATTTGTTCATTCCCCTGCCCTGTCCTTTCTCCTCAATCTATTCACTTTAAAACCCATTAGTTACTGTGAAACAACAATATATGTGTATTAGAGAAACTCAGCTAGAGTCACAAATTCATTATGGAGTTAGATAATATAGTAGCTTGGGAAATCAGGCTATGCTTCCTAAAGGAAGTGATGCGTCATATGTGTGGCATGACTCTTGTGGTCCATATGGTTAGTCTTGTGGCCTCAAGGAAAACACACTTGTTACCTCAGTTACTTTGCGCTTTAGGGAATTAGTGTTTCTGCATCACTGGTATTACCAAAAAGCTGGAGATTAACCCTGATTAATAATTATTTTACTTTTTTTAATTTGTATTTTTAGTTAAAATATTTTCAAAGTATAATCAATGTATCTTCATTTCATGACAAAAAGATCAACTTTCCTTAAATGGATAAATTCTTATACATTTCTCAAACTTTTACCCTCAGGAAGAAACTCAATCTTTGCTGTGGTATGAGTGTCCTTTTCATTTGTTGATAATATATTTTTAAATTTTGGGGAGTGGTCAACAGTCCATTGACTCTTAGATGACTGCAGGACAGGCTGTACTTGTTCTTATTTAAACCCTGTAATGAGGTACAAGAAGAAAGGAGGACATCCTCTCACTGTTTTAGGAGCTTATGCAAAGCTAATTGCTAAGAGTCCTGACCTTAACCTTCATCAGGAGAAAAATGTGGACCAAAACCCAAGTCACATTTATTTCTAAGTTTCTTTTAATGTTTTGCCTTTAATACACCGTCAAAATAGCATTTTAGATGATACAGTTAAATTCAAAGTCTTACAATAAGATCAAACCACTTCTCTAGTTTCAATCCACGCTCTGATTGTAGATTTTCTTGGTTTTGTTTCTTAAGAAAACAGAGTAGTACATTCTGGCATTCAGGAAACTCCCAGAACATGGCAGGATCAATCACTTTTTGAATCATGTTTGTGGTTAGCCTCCTGTTTCCAACTCCTCTATGAAAATGTAAGTGACATTTAATAAAACTCATGGTTCTAACTTCTAGAAAAAGGCCAGAGAAAGTACATAAAATAGATTATAGCTGTAACTATAAACTTAAGTAATGAAATGCTGTAGCTCAATGTGAATGAAAAGTTTCTAGAGGAAGAAAATCTTGGCCAGGCGTGGTGGTTCACACATGTAATCCAAGCACTTTGGGAGGCCGAGGTGGGTGGATCACAAGGTCAAGAGATTGAGACCATCCTGGCCAACATGATGAAACTCTGTCTCTACTAAAAATACAAAAAATTAGCCATGTGTGGTGGCGTGCACCTGTAGTCCCAGCTACTCGGGTGGCTGAGGTAGAAGAATCCCTTGAACCCTGGAGACGAAGGCTGCAGGGAACTGAGATCGATTTCCATCTAAAAACCCAGCAACTAAAGTAAGGATTTTTACTTTATCAGTGTCTTTCTTGTTGATTATTTCTTTATCTTTGCTACATATGTAGCATGGGAGAGATTGTTTTCAGATGAAATCTAAGAAGGCAGAGGAAAATAGTTCCCTTTGATTTAGGCCTTTAAATAACAAATATGGTAGAGAATCGAAAGTAGTGAGATGCCTTAAATACATATGTAGGCATGTACACAAAGTTGCTATGCTCGAGAATTGCTAATATACAGCTTTTCAACAGATGAGCCTTTATTTTCAAATTATTCAAGTTATAAAATTGTTTATTACAGGACATATTAGACTCATTTAAAAAGTTATAGCTACAGGGAACTTTACAGGCCACTAAGTTCAACAAATTTATTTTATAAACAAACAGGCCTGGAGAAGTTAATTCTCTCAACATAGATTTTCCTTCCTTTCTTCTTTCCTTCCTTCCTTTTTTCCAAGCATTTTTCATATATTACTAGAAATAGAATTTCCCCTTTAAAAGAAGGAAAAAGACCAACACAGTGCAAAATATTTAGCTTCCTTTGGATTTCAGGGTAATGTTCTGAATAATGAAAATCAGAATGCTTCGTAAATTTCAACTCAGTGTCATCATACATTCATAGCATGCAAGAATTTGAATACAACTTGAGTTGCAGAACTCAGAAAGTCACATTAGTTTAATTCAATTGCATTTTATATCATTAATTATTGCCTATCAAGCAAATTGGAGAAGTCCAATGAATCTGTCAAGATTTTTCGAGTCTCTGTATGTGTGAGGAAAATGTTCTTTCTAGGGAACTGTCCGATTAGCAATGGGTTTCTTTAAGCCTTTATACAGAATCCTACATTTGAGCTAGTTTTTTAAAATACAAGATTCTTTCCATAGGTCTTTATATTAAATTAATTTTGTGAACTTCCATTTATTTGATAGTTTGCATTCTAGTTACAAAATTTGTTGAAACTATTTCAAAGAACCAGACTCACACTTAAATTCCAAGTTCTTCACTATTCAGTTATCAAAGTATTATTTTCACTATATTTGTAAAAATAAATCAGGACATGTATGGGGAGTACAACAATATAATCATACTATTTGTGTATTGTTGTATATTTTAAATTTGCATTAACATACAGTTTCTCATTTAATTTTTTCAAAATCTCAGGTATACATTATCACTATTATTATTTATGACTGAAATTTACATAAGTAAGAAATCTTTTTCCTCCGTGTTTCTCCTATTGTCTTTCTGTATAAATGTTACTTGGGGGGATTGAGACATGTTGAGTATGTAGCAGCTGTCCTAGCTCTTTCCACCAGTGTGTCTTTATTCAGGCAGTTTCTCAGTTCCAATTTCACTCTTATGTTTATTTGTAGACCCATCTCAAAGTGCACCTGCTTCAAGAAGAACTCCCTAGATCAAATATTAGTCCACAAAATTAAGTCCCTTTTTTAGTTCTCTATGTAGCAACAACTATCAGCACTACATATTTTAGTAATTAATTATATTTCCCCACTAACATTGTAATGGCCTCCAGATGTCTTTTGCACTCAACAATTGTTCGAATAGACAATTTTATATCACTGTAGGAATAAAACAGCATTGCCTTTTTATCACACTGTGCCCTAAATATGTATATTTACATACTGGAGGAACTTAATAAGTATCCATATGTAACTTCTCTTGTAGCATCACAAAATGTTTACTTTTAGGGAGAGGGAGAGCCTTTCAGTGAGAAGCCCACCACACAATAGGAATGCTGGTGCCTGAGAATGGTGGCCCCATAGAAAGGTACTCACTAGGATTAATGTTGTAATTTAAAATATTGTCCAACAGCATAGTAAACACCGTTTTAGCACCAAATAGGGAAAATCACAAGTACAAGATGATTAGAACCAAGGGTGTAGGCAGTGGAGTAGATACAGAATGTCTCAGCATTTAGTTCGTTGGCTACTGTTGCCTTTCACTATTCTGAGAAAAAGAAGACAGCTATTAGTTTTGACAAAGCAATTATACCAAGACACAGATGCAGGGAGCTGACCTGACACTTGCCCTTGGATAGTTGTCATAGCAGCAGGCTGAATAGAGCAGCTATTCAGGCACTGGAGGAAGTTCTGCCCTAAATGCAACACATTTGAACATTAATATACAAGTGTGTATATGATTTCTTAGTAGTGGTGGCCATCTTTCTCCTTTATTGGTTTCTCATCTAATTTTTAAGTACTCATTTCTTAGGAAATCTCTGCTTAAAGATAACAATTATTATGTGCACCTGAAGGACTAGCTGCACCATCCACCGGAAGTAGATACTGTGTACCTAGGGTATTGTTCCATAGGGAGAAGATAGTTTTGTCAGACAGTATTGCTAACAAAAGAAAGGTTTAGATACTGTTAACTGGCTGTAGCTTTTTAAAAAGCTACATATACTGTGTCCATACCCAGTAAATAATTTTTGTTCTTATTTACTTTTTGCTTATAAATATATGCATATACCTCTATATATCTTATACACAAAAGATAATTATTTAAAGTGATGTGTAAAAAGATGTAAACATATACAATATATTATATACACATAAAGAAGAGGGTATTTGTCAATACGGTAAAGACTTTGGGTATATTGTTGAGGTAATTATTTGATGTTTTTAAATATTACCTCTATTTTAGTAACCTAAACTTAGCAGAAATGTAGAAATGCCTAGTCAAAACTGAAGTTTTAATGACAACACTAAGATAGATATCATTATGAAAAATATTTTATAATGAGTTAGAATTATTAATAATGCATATCTAAACACTCAGATAAACTGTTGATATGTATAAAATAGTAAAAATTATGATAATCTAGGATGATTCTGCCTAAAACAAAAAAAGGATAGAAAATTTTAATATGTATGATCAATAGAGAATCTGTGTATTCAAAATAATGACCTTATAGAATTGCTAAATCAGTTTCTAGATCATGCCTTGTGAAATTATGAAATAGGCATCAGGAAAGGAAGACAAAATATTGGTATATCCAAATCCATGAGGGGATTCTTTGTTTTGTTTTTTCTTTCTCAATCAATATATACTTCCACTTATAGGAGAAATTTTAAAATTGTATTTTAGTAACCTAAGTTTAGGTTACTAAAAAATTGTAGAATATCTAATTGTTTGAATGTATGAAAATTGTGCTGCTGACAGGTAAAATACATATAGAATGTGAATAATATGGCTTTTATATTTAAAGCTTGTGGAAAATGAATATGTTGACTCTATAGTTTTAAAACAATTTCAATAATTACAAAAGAATGCATATATGATAAATTGCACTGGATACATAATAAATTAAATTTGATATTTAGAATCAAAAGTGCTTTTTTATGTTATGAATCAAATCAAATTAGGAAAATTTTCTAACAGATTTGGAAGCACAATTTTGATGCAAGAATATAATTGGCAGATGTAACATATATAAATCTCTTGAAAACATTACACAATGTAGTCAAAAATGGTGTAAGCAAAAGGGAATTTATTATCCTGGGTGACTAAAAATTCTAACAGTAGGGCCAAATTTACATATGATTGACTGTCTTATAGATTATGAGTCTTCTTTCAGAGATCCCTTGGGGGTTCTGCTCCATTTTTGTTATTTCTTTTCTCAGGCAGATTATTCTCTTCTGGTAGCAGCAAAGGTGCAGCAGCTCCAGCCTTCCATCTTCCCCGTATGATTGGGTTACATATTCATCCCTGAAGCAATTGCTGAGGCCAGAGAAATGGAAAATGTATAGGTCACACAGTTTGTGAGCCATTGGTAGAGTAAATTCTATAAAACGCACGGAATGAGAGTAGGGTAGGAGGATCAGATACAGTTATGAGAACGTGAAGAGGGATGAATACTGGAAGGCCAATGAAAAACTGTTCACTACAGTGGACTGTACTGGCTTTCTAGGGCTGCCATCATAAAGTACCACAAACTCAGTGATTTAAAATAACAGAAATGTATCCTCTTACAATTCTGGAGGTTAGAAGTCCAAAATCAAAGTGAGAGAAGCCATGCTTCCTCAAAACCCCTAGAGGAGGATCCTTGTTTGCTGCTTCTGGTAGCCCAGCCATTCCTTGGTTTCTGGCAGCAAAATTCCAATCTCTGTTTCCATCTGTGTCTCTTCTTCTTTTCCTAAAAGATTACCAGTTAGTGTGAATTAAGGTTCACCCTAATTCAGTATTGTCTCATCTTAACTAGATTACACCTGCAATGACCCTGTTTTCAATTAAGATCACGTTGATTGGTATGAGAGATTAGGACTTCAACATACTTTTGGGGGGACACAATTCAACCCATAACAGTATACTGTTTGCACCTTCCACAATTCATGTCCTTCTAACTTCAAAAATATATTCACCTATCCCAATATCCCCAGAAGTCTTAATTCATCCAGCATCAACTCTAAGTCCAATCTCCTCTAAATATATTCAACTCAAAAACTACCAAATATTGTCTTTAAATCATCTAAATCCAGTGTGGGTAAGACTCTGGATATGGTCCATCCTAGGGCAAAATTTCTCTCCATCTGTACACCTGTGAAACCTGGAAAACAAGTTATATGCTTCTAAAGGACAGTGGTGGGACAGGTATAGGATGGACATTTCCATCCCAAGAGGGGGAAAGGAAAAGGAGAAAATGGATCAAAGTTCCCAAGCAAGTTTAAAACTCAGTAGGGTAAATTCCGTTAGTTTTCTAAGACTGAAAATAATTATTTGTGGCTCCATGTTCTGTCTTCCTGTCCCATCTGGCCAGTGGGCCCATCCTCTTGGCCAGCATGAGCAGTGGCCATGACCTCTTGGCCAATGATGTCCAGCTGGCTGCTGGCCTCAACCTCTGGGCTCATTGCTTTGCCCCTGGAATCATTCTTGTTTCATTCAATTCCATCTCTGTCCCTTTTCAGTCTGGGCTGACAGTTTTTCTGCAGGTATACAATTTTCAAAAACTTTGTCAGTCTCCTGTGTATGTCAAGGTAATCCACACTATTAGACATGGGGATTCTTTATACAGTACATTCTTCCTGGATAATCTCATCTGTCTTCCTAGAATCTGCTGAAATGGTTGATTGAACCCATAAATCACATATGTAATCTCTTTAGCATACTGCTGTCCAGCCACACCTGTTTTCAGAGCATACTATCTGAAAAATTTTTCCAGATCATCAGGTGCTGGTTCCTTGGTGTAAGTAAATTGAATCCATAACATGAGATAAGTCCAGTTTTTACATTGCACTTTTTGAAGAATGCGTGTATGGCTTTATGCTCATTAGCCTCACTTAATAGGAATTTACCAGCAGAAGTATTGAAGGCACACAATTTACCAGCAGAAGTATTGAAGGCAGCAGAAATATTGGCAGCACAGTATTTACAGATGCAAAGTATACAACTACCACCAACTATCTTTAAGTAAGGGAAAACTACTTATAATTTAGAGTTTTATTTATTTGAAGATTTGAAGTACAGCCATTATATTCATTTAAAAATTTTTAAGTTGCATGAATTTTATCATCAGGAGACTGGAATAGATCGCTTCCTTCTGTCTCTGTCTCTTTTTCATCTTCCCTCTCTTCTTCCGTCTGTCTATGTTCCTCATACATAGTATAGAAAAACTCTTACACATAATATAGAAAAACTCTTATGAAATTTTGTATCAAAATATGAAGAAATCCCAGTCATCTAAAATCAATGATAGATGTGCAGAGCATAAGTGTTGGAGTTGTCGTTTAAAAAGAATAAGGTGAAACATAAACCAATAGGTACATGACTGCTTTTTCGTGAATGTGGAAAATACATGTAGTCCATTATGTCATTATTGTTTAAAAGGTAGAAAGTTTCTCTCTCTCTTTCTCTCTCTCTCTCTCTCTCTCTCTCTCACACACACACACACACACACAAAATCTATTTTAAGATGCTTTTAATAATTGTTTCTTAAATATTTTGCTTAGTTGTCATCATAGTAATTATTCAGTTTAAGATGTGAATGCAATAGATTTAAAAGTGCTTTGTCTACGTTAGAGACAAAGCTGTTACCCGGTGATTCTCCCATACATACACTGTACATATCCTCTAATTGGAGCCTCCTAAATTGACACTGCAAATAAGTACTTCTTAATGATGATGAAGAAGCCAGTTACTGAGGAGCTGCTTCGTGAAAAGTACTGTCATTCATAGCTGTAAAGTACTAAACAAGCCTTAAATTATATCTTCTGTTTTAAAGTCAAACTAAAAGTAATCTATACATGTCTTTTGTTTATTTATCCTATTGCTTTCATCGAAATATGAAAGCACTTAAAATATTCAGCAGTGACTTACGTGTTATGGAAGCGACCACTCAAGGCAGGATTTCTGAAAAGTTATATGCATGTCAGCATCAATGCAAGCCCAGCAGCAGCTGAGCTCTAGCCCTGTACAAGGTGCAGGGGATAAACACCAGGGCTGCCTGTGTTCAAATTCTTTCCCTGTCTTTACCTGACCGTGTCTCCACTCATGAGGAGGAAAGGGCATGCATCTTTGTCTTTGTGACACATCAAGGTTCCTTCTTCTTCGAAGCTCAGACGTGTAAAAAATGCTGTGGATGCTATTGTATCAAGGAACTCAAGAATGCCTGGTGCTGTGCTATACCAATGGCAACAGGGTCCAATCCAAAGATGGCACACCCATTAGGGCTTACAGATATTTCCAGTAATCATCTACCCTTGCTTTGAGACAAATGACTTACTTCAATAAGTCCTAAAAAACACTGCGCCAGTATTTTGCAAAAATAAAATACAAAAAAATAAAAATATATTTAATCATTTATTTATTAGTAATCTCTATATAGATTGCCAATATATAGATACTAATCCATATATATATGTATAGATACTAATCCATATGTATATATATAACTAATCTATTTATAGGGTAGTAAATGGCAAAAGTGTTTTATTTGGCCTGAACATTGTTGCAAAATGTTACATTTGAATGATTTTATATAGGCACATGCTCTTGAATTTGGCACTGTCTTCATAACCTCCTATTGTTCAATAGTTAGAGCTCTTTACTTTTGCTTGGTTCCTATGGGGAGTTGAGTTTGAGAGGAATTTTGATTCACCTAGTTTTAGGCAAGTATTTTTTATCACCCGAACATATGTGCCAAAATTTTTGCATTAAAAATTAAAGCTTTTCTAATTCTTCAAAAAATAATTTGGATGAAAAATAAATTAGTCTGTAGATGGTTTACTTCTTCCAGTTGGCACAAATGCACAGATACTGCTTCCTTTACATATTTATTTAGTAGAATAGAAAATTATGATAAAAGAATAGGAATAAGAATGCTACTTAAATTTGATACTTACCTTTTCTAGATCTTAGCGTGGGTGAATGTGTAGTTTTGCCCTTGAGAGGATACTTGCTATATATTATAAATATATGTCAGTAAGAATATATTAATAATATATGAATATACATAAGTAAGAGTATATGAATATAAGTCCAACTCATGCTGAATGATGAACCTCGTCTTTAACCAACCACTGAATGAAGATTTACTTCCTTTTTAAAATTTCAGTATTTTGTGTGATTCCTATGAGCTGCTTTGAAACCAGCAGCCTTGCTCAGTGTAGAAAATGAAAGATGAACAATTGAGCTGGTTTATTTTCCTCTTGGCATGAGTCTATCAGTATTCGTTTTGAACTGAGCTGTCTGTCATTCCTGACAAGTCCCAAGGGAAGATAAGCCTTTGGGTCCAAAATATTAACAGGTAAACACAGTATTCATGTTTTGCCATAGCAAAGATACGTTTAATTTTAAAATGGGGCCAGAGTCCCTAAACCTACTTCAACAAGTCCTAAAAAAACACTGCTCCAGTATTGTGCAAAATAAAATACATAAAAATAAATAAAAGAATAAGATGTTTGAACAACAACAACAATAAAATAAAACCATTTAAAATGAAGAATGCCGGGGATTAAGTGTTCTAAAAACCCACAGCCCATAAAATGTGTTTAAAGCAGGTGAGGCAGGAGTGAGAAAATCCAGTAAGGAAAAGACAGCTTCAGTAAGCAATCCCAAAAAGGTATGTATTTTAGAACAAGGTTCTTATTTAAAAATTAGCCTTCTGGCTGGGTGCAGTGCCTTACGCCTATAATCCCAGCACCTTGGGGGGCTGAGGTGGAAGGGTTGCTTGAACCAGGAGTTTGAGACCAGACTGGGCAAAATAGCAAGACCTCAACTCTACTAAACATTAAAATCAAATAAAAAATAGCTAGACATAGTGGCATGCAACTGTAGTCCCAGCTACTGGAGAGGCTGAGGAGGGAGGATTGTTGAGCCCAGGAATTTGAGCTTGCAGTGAGCTAGGATGGCACCACTGCACTCCAACAAGGGCAACAGTGAGACCCTGTCTTAAAAGAATTAATTAATTGGCCAAGCACAGTGGCTCACATCTGTAATCTCAGCACTTTGGGAAGCCAAGGCAGAAGCATCATGAGGTCAAGAGATCAAGACCATCCTGGCCAACATGATATCTCTACTACAAATACAAGAATTAGCTGCTGTAATCCCAACACCTTGGGAGGCTGTGGAGGGTGGATCACGAGGTCAAGAGATCGAGACCATCCTGGTCAAAATGGTGAAACCCCGTCTCTACTAAAAATACAAAAAATTAGCTGGGCATAGTGGCACATGCCTGTAATCCCAGCTACTCAGGAGGCTGAGGCAGGAGAATTGCCTGAACCCAGGAGGCGGAGGTTGCGGTGAGCCGAGACTGCGCCATTGCATTCCAGCCTGGGTAACAAGAGCGAAACTCCGACTCAAAAAAAAAAAAGAATTAGCTGGACATGGTGGTGTGCGCCTGTAGTCTCAGCAACTCCAGAGGCTGAGGCAGGAGAATCATTTGAACCCGGGAGGCAGAGGTTGCAGTGAGCCAAGATCACACCACTGCACTCCAGCCTGGTGACAGAGGAAGGCTCTGTCTCAAAATAATAATTAATAAATAAATAAATTAAAATTAGCCTTCTATAGAAAGAGTTTAAGATGATCATGTTTGATTTTGTTTTATATACACTACCTATATAGCATTTTACTCGAAAAGCTTTATAGAAATGAATATTATCCCATTTATATGTATTCTTCAGGGCAGATAGAACTGGACCCTTTCATCCACCCAAACACACCAGGATAAAAGGAAGGGGTAGTGCTGGGCCCAAATTTTACTGTAACTCTGCACAAGCTGCTGACCAGTATTACAGCATACTTACCCACAGTTCACATATCTACACACACACCTGTGCCCCATCATTTCTTTTGCAAGAGTTCACAAAAGGCAAAGGAGGAGGAAAGAAAGTTATACTTCCTTTGCATAATCTGGGCTTCTGATAATTAAAAATTATTAATCACTTTTCTGATAGTTGTACTAAAATGAAAAAAATGCTTATCAGTAAATCCAGCATTCTGCATAGTGACTGGGCTAAAATAAACAGAACAAATCCCATCAAAGAGAAGTTTTCAAGTAAAGATAATACTGAATTCATGGAGAAATAGTCTATGTAGTTCCATTGTTTTTCTCTTTGATTGATTTTATTTTATTTTAATGGCTATTTTAGAATAAAAATACACTATCCTCTCGAACTGAATGTTTGTACTTGAAACTATACTTTAGGACAAATAGCAAATTTTAGAAGATTTAAAAGCAAGTTTGAATGTTTGCATATAAACATCTGAAGTTATACCTAAAAATAGATACATTTAGTACTAGGCATGCCTAAAGAATCTTTATATTTAGCAATTATTATATGAAGTTTTGTTTACTGGGAAAACAGATATGAAAATTGGACATGTTTAATTTGAATATTGGCACACACTTTACATTAAAATAAAAAAGTATTGGATATTAAAAATATATAATCAGACTTTTTTTTCATTTTTGCCATTTAGTTTCTTGATTGCCTAACAGAATTAATTTATACCTGTTGTACACTGAGTAAGAGTTGCTTTGGATACATTTTCCTTTAACCTATCCTAGCCACCTATAAAAGAGTTCCCAGATGACTATGACAGAGTAAGCCTGTTAAAGGTTATTCCCTGATGAGCAGCCGGTACCTGATGGAGAAAGGCCGGAATTGCAACCCTGGAGGCTAAAGAGTTACCTGCTTGTTATCTTCAAGTCAAATAGGAGTGCACAAATATTAAGTGCTTCCTATATCAAGCCATTACATGGAATATGAAAGATGCATTTAATCATTTATTTAGAACTCATGAAACATAGGGAAATATTCTAGAGCTTGGAATAGGGCAGGAAACTGACACTAACATTCCCCAATCAGAAAATAGAAGCGTACAAAAAAATTGAAAAATGTTTACTGTATCACTCTTTCACTCTCCCTGAAAAGAGCTAATCTTACTCTACCGCATCATTCACCTTCAAAGTGCAGTCACTTATTGTTGTTAGAAAGACCATAGCTTTGCTGGGCACAGTGGCTCAAGCCTGTAATCCCAGCACTTTGGGAGGCCAAGGCGGGTGGATCACAAGGTCAAGAGATTGAGACCATCCTGGTCAACATGGTGAAACCCTGTCTCTACTAAAAATATAAAACATTAGCTGGGCATGATGGCGTGTGCCTGTAATCCTAGCTACTCAGGAGGTTGAGGCAGGAGAATTGCCTGAACCCAGGAGGCAGAGGTTGCGGTGAGCCGAGATCGCACCATTGCACCCCAGCCTGGGCAACAAGAGTGAAACTCCGTCTCAAAAAAAAAAAAAAAGAAAGACCATAGCTTTAGGAGTCATTTAGACACCTCCCCCACTGCTGTGCTACTCTGTACTGGATAACGCTGGAACTCAATCCATGTGACTCTGATTCCTCCTTTGCAATTTGGGAATCATTTTTATATCATAGAATTGTGAAAACTAAGTGAAATCATGTATACATCACATATAACCCATTGCATGACTCAGAGAAAGCATCAAGGAGAAATTGACTTTGTTAGCTGGTTCCCAGGAGAGAGAACTTCAAGGAGAGCTCTGCTAATTCCAAACATCCTTTATTGAAATTTCTTTGTTTCTATTGTCCTGTAATATCCACCCTTTTGCTATATTCTACGCTATTTTATGACACAAAATAAGTCTATCTCCTCTTTCATAAGACAGTTCTTCATATATTTAAATACATTATTAGAAGCCATATATGTCTCCATCTCCACACATTAAGGATGAGCACTTCATGCCTCTAGCAGAGCAGTCCCTCTCCTTATATACTACAACCCGTTACCTCTTGCCTGTTCCAGAAATTCTCCCTGCTCTCTCTCCTCTAGGACCATTTTTCCTCTTTACACTGGATTCTTCCCATCAGCGTGCATACATACTATTCTTCTTCCACCACAACCAAAGGAAAGCAAACAAACCAAAAAGCAAAAATTTAAAAAATATATATTTCCACCTTCCCTTAGTTTCCACACTTCTCTTTCCCTTTACAACTGTAGTCCTTAAAAATATTGTCTTAAGTGACTGCTCCCTAATTCTCTCCTTTGATTTCATCCTGCACCCAGTCAGGTTTTGCTACCATCCATCACCAAAGTTAGTCCCTTAAAAATCCAGTGATGACTTCCACATTTCTATATCCTATAGTCTGTTTCTTAGTTCTTGTCTTACTTGCACTATCAGGGGCATTTGCCACAGTTTATTACTTTGTCCTCCTTGAGGATTTATGCTGCAATTTACTTTTAAAACAACATATGAATTATCTTCCTATTTCCTTGCAGCTCCATCTTACTCGCCTATGCTGGT